TTTCACGTGATTTGTGCGTTTGCGGAACAAAAGAGTCGCGTAATCTAGTGAGCACGGATGTACTAGACCAATTAGGCGCAGTTGGTTGAGTAAACGAGGAAGTGACCGCTACATGTCTTCTCAGTGGGGGGCGGCTAGTGAGAATCATATCGCATACTTCATTTAATGTAATAATGCAATTTCAGTTGTATGCTACAGATTCTCAGCAGATTTTTTGAAGATGGGATGCATTTTTTCCATTTTGAGTGAGCGTTCCAGATATTCAGGATGAATCCATGATTATCGTATTCCAGAAAAAAATATCTAACCTCTATAGTGTTCGTTAGGCCCGGCCAACTTGGCAATAGGAACTGGCAATTTTTCAGTCCAACCAGACCAGAGGAGAAGAACAAGGGAACGGGATAAGTTGTCTTACAGAACAATGCAGTGGTCATTTGAAGAGCAGAAACTACTGAACAATCTATGATTTGCTGCTTCATTTTGTCTTTTAGACGCATTATTTTCAGAGTTAAAAAATGGTGATACTGGTTAGAACGTGGTGCGTATCCAGGGCTAGGCTGTTGACTACGTCGAGTCGAGTCGAATGGCGGGTTAGTGATTCACTTGTGCTTATGCAGAAACTTTCCAAAGTGAATTCCAACTGATGAGTTTGAGTCGGCAGTATTTTGATCGTAGTGTTTTCCCATGAAGAGAAAACCAATCGTTGGAGGAACCATAGATCCTTTTTCCATGGGTTTCGGTCCCATGCATCCACAACGGCTCCCTGTTTGGGGGTTTCTACTGGGGATTAGTGGAGAAACAGTCGCAAGCGACATTGATAACCAGGATTGAGACAATGTCGACCGTAGATTTCGTCAGTTTGCTTTGAATACAAGCTAGGACTTTGTCAAGGAATGTAGAAAATTTCGAACATTGGAGCAAATCTCAAACACGATGCCTGTCTATCCAGTCGATGGGGGGATTAGCGACGAGGTTTTCTAAAAATCCATCATACTTGTTTGGGATACTTCCAAGACAAACATTCCCTTAATTTAGCCGCTCAGTAGCACGCCTTCCGGTAGCTATCATTAAACAACGCAACGTCATCACTATGGCAACAGGAGGGGAAAGGCAACCGTAAACTTCCTGAATTGAAGGGTAACCGCTAGCACGAACGGTTTGAAGCCCAAAACACTCTAGGCCGGCAACATAATCGTATAGCTTACTCAAAAAAAACAACAGTTGTTGTGCCCTTGTTTTGTTACTTAAGGTCAGTAAGTAAACGAGGCCTGTGTAATAGGATGAAAAGTGGCCAAATCCATAAAACAAACACATTAATCTAACACCTAACTAAGAAAGCCCGGAGAAATAATTCGGTGGGAGAACGTGTGACGGATGAAGGAGTATGTTTAAAGAAGAAAAGTGCTAAGAGGCTCTGCAGCCGAACATTTATCCGACCGCGCCTGCATTCCGCAGACACAATAAGACAAAATAAAACACTATTGTATAGCCATTTCTATCATGTTAGGAATCCCTATCACAATACAATGTTTGGCATACGTAGCTGGTCAGTGATCTTATCGATTTGTATACACCCTGTGAAAAATAGTTATGAAGCCGCTGCTATTCATCAACCCCTGTAACCCCTGACTCGGTCCAAACGGTACTTGTTTTTGAATTTCTAGTGTGAAAAAGGTGAATATAAACAGTGTATTGCAACCAACTAAGGTTGATTGAACCAGTTTGGCTCAGTGAAGCTGTGGTTTCGGCCACGTCCATAAGCTTACCGCTTTTGAAGAGAAAGAAGTGACCGGACTAACAGACCATCTGTTCAAAGACTGAAAGACAGACTGCCAGCTCACAATTGTTCAATGTTCAACTATTTTTTCTCATTTGAGAGCCATTGGAAAATTTTGGAGCTCTTGTGGCTTGAATTTTATCCCAAAGTTCAAGGGACGTTTGTTCACAAGAATCAGAACCGAAGAGTCAATACACACGATCAGTACAACCGAAGCCATGTATAGAACAAGAATCACCTGGACGAATAGTTATGTTCAGTTTAACGAGTGCCAACCGCTTCTACTCTACAAAAACGCACTTGAAATAGCGGAAGCAACAGACACCAATCCTTCTTGTCATAAAGGAAATGTGAAAACATTGATCTCAACTCACTCCCGTCCCTCTGGAGGAGATCCATGGATTGGTTGCCAGTAATTACCATTTTCAGGCCAGTAAAGCCTCTCCCCTGTTATCTCCCTGACAATTTGTCGGAAACACTGCTCAGAACTACCAGCGTAACTGTGATACTACTGATGGGGAGACATGCGAGTAGTATTTTTTGTTCTTGTAAATTCTCTTCGCATTTCTTGAAAAGGGAGATTTGTTGCGGAATTTGTGAACTCGCTTTGTAGCATTTGCTTGAATTTGAGCAATGAATGATTAAAGTCAATGAATATGCAGGAAAGTTCAAGAAGACGCGTTCAGGAGAAGATGGATGTCCAGTTTCTGTAAATAAGATGCTAATGAGGGTTTTGCTTCCCTGTCCAATAGTCTGTAACGGGTCAGTTGGCATTTTCTAACAGCTTTTAAAAGTCGTACAAAGATGGACAATACCAGGAGAAGGACTAACTTCTCAGGATAAAATAAATGACGATGAAAGTCGTACGCTTATCAGCTGAAGCTCACGCAAAAACGTCCCTAGGGTAAGATTTCAGCCTAGAAAACCATACTCAATACCGAATTAAGGAAAGAACATCAAGAAACTTGAAGTCCTACTTGAAGTTAGACAAACCCACAATTTGGAGACCCTGGTAATATAACTTATGCGTAGAACAATAGTTCAAACTTACAAACACATGGTATAGCAACCCTTCGAAGGAACGGCATGGACCTCTATCAGGTTGCACTCAAATTGACCCTAAGAGTGGTGTCAAGTCTCTTCTATTCCGTTTTCTACCATTTTCCTGCAAAATAATCTCAGATGGACGGTGCATCCGTCGATGTATCTTTTAGCTTAAAACGCTGGTTCTTGATGGTGTTCCAAATAGAATTGTTCCTTCGAATGCGCTTTCTTTCAAGAAAGGCCGCCACACTAGATGCCACATCGGCATGGACATGTGATTTGGTCTGGAGTTCATCGTTTTTGAGAGTTCATCTATAGCTTCAAAGAAACACAAAAAACAGCCTGCGGTAAAATGCGGGTTTTCTTAAATTTTGGTACTCATTGGGAATCCGGCCAACCCGGTCAAAGCTCATTCTTTTATTGGATGACTGGAAAATTCGAAGCATGCTTTTTCATCTGTATTGGTTACTTCAGTCAACTGTCTCCCCAAAGACCGACTAATTGATTGATCGAAACTAGTCTATACTGTTAGGACTTAAGAGTTGATGCCGAGTTCAAGGAAAGAGCAAAGGTAAACACTTCCGCGCAAAGTTTTTTCATTATTCCTCATCCAGCGTCACCACATGTAGTACCTTAGATGGGAAGTACTGGGAACGCACATCATCCTCGTGTTCTGCCAACGTAAACAGTCTGCCAATTCCCGGGATGATCCGGACTTCTTTTCAAGAGATTTTGTCCAGCAAATGGGTCAGAAAAACACCGTACATCTGTGTAATTTCTTTCCGGAATCGTTAGCAGTGTGCATCTGATGTAACACTATGCAGATTCGAACCCCCAACTTTCCAGTTAGTAATGAGAACACTCAAACTGTCAGTCACAGCAGCTGATCAGCGGTGTGGTCAACGCGAACTTAGAATATGACGCTACTCATCCTTCGATCATGGCATCCACATCCTATTGTCAAATGCCGACTGGCCCCTCAAGTGACAGCTTCCCAGATGGAAAGTTCGCTCGTCGTGAGATTTTTTCTTCGGAGTTGTTATTGATAGTGTAAGGAGAAGCGGTAATTTTAAGCGTTTGTTCTGATGAGGAAAATTCGAGTCACTGTGATCGACAGGGTTTTCTTGAGATGACTTCAACTGAATCGTGTGGTGTCTCCTGAGACGGGTGCTAGGTCCAAACATTGGGAACGAGAGGGCTCAAGTGGTTACATCGCGAATTTACTGACCGGAAGGTTTGTGGTTCGAACCCGACCTATGCCTCTCGACTTCCCCTGTCTATGCTTGGGCAACCTGGCAGTATACCAGCACTCGTTCTTCCTTCGGGTGACATGGCCGTTAGGCACCGAAAGGGTGCTACAGCTGGGCAGTTTTAGGTCCAAACATTATTGCATTATTGATAATCCAACCATGAAAATTCTACCATGGTAGAAATAAAACTAGAGGTTTTCTGTTCGTCATAACTTGCAAGTTTTTGCATGCGCACAAAAACATAGTGGACACAGCAATAATCTTTTCTGGGGACGTTAAAAGATTTGCAATTTGTTCGCGTAATGGGCTGAGTTTAAAATAGCTTTTTAGTGTTTTTCTTCCCAATGCATTTATCCCGTCCTTCCCCGTTTCGGTGCATTACTCTGGCCTTGTTCGGAAAGTGACCATTTCTTTTTTTGATAAAGGAGGGCTTAGAAGAGCGACGGTATTCCCATATGATATATACTGCTCTGGTAATTTATTTTGGCAGTGTCATGTTCCAGCGATAATAGATTATATGGTGGACTTCTTTTAAGAAAGAACGTCAAACTAAGATCATTTGGGTTCTTTCTTCGGGGGGAACTGCTGCCTTCCACGTAATAAACAGTTCGATTTGCCACTGGTGTAAATTCTCGGAATTTTTCAACTGACGGCCGACTACAGCACTGTATTGCATGAATCGGTGTTGCTTCCGGACTTTGAAAATTCGTCAACGAAAATCGTTCTGGCTTCCCGACAAGTTTCATCCAGACCACTGTATCGACCTCCAAATAAAACAATAATTCACTGGTAGAATGGTGTTCAAAGCTACTGCTTCTCTTTTCCCGATCGTTCATAAGCGGCACTTATTTCTACAAGTCTGTTTACAGGTCAGCCCATTCATCAAATTTTCTACTTCCGCACCGACGAATGTAGATGAGTCTGACAGGTGTCCTTTTAACGAATCAAATATGTACAAAGAATTTTTGGCAAAAATGAATACCAGTCGTGTCAACGAATCATTCAGTGGTACAAAGTAGAAAAAGTAGTTTGGAAGGGTATGGTCATTTTTGCGTGAACAGTGAAATTGCATGGCATTTTTCACGCAGTCTGAGTTCGATCGTGATACTGGCTGAAACAAGCTTCGATTGATTTAACACAAAGACAGACGGTATGCCCAGCCCCAATCAGCCGCTGTAATACCGGGCCGGGAAGGGGTGGTCCTTCTTTTTCTTTCTGTAAATGACTGCTGACTTCTTTGGCCTGAGTTATGATGCCTTTGAGGGCCTCACAGAGTGAATCGTTCTTTGTAGTCAGTTCGTTCTGAAGAGCCAGGATTTCGGTTTTGTCAGTGAACGTGTCGACCAACGTTGAGAGAAGAGCACAGAAACTGGACACGGACTTTATTAGCTCAGTGCATGAGTCCAGGGTAGCATTCACCAGGGTGTTTACCATCTTAAGAGTCAATGGTTCACTCGAGGTCTTCGAACTTGGTGGTCCCGTCTTTGCGGGAAGAATTTGCCGCAAAAAGCATTGGGAACTGCTCCAGGCATGTTCACATTGAGACTGTAACTCCGAAAAACGCTTGACTGGGATCAGTTTTACCAATTCAGACATTCGGCTCTGACTGCCGTATGAACACGAACAATCCTCAGTACGATTCAACGACCAGGATGAAGGTGGAGCGGTTAGAGATGATAGAATATCCACATCAGCATGTGTAAATGCGTTCACTTTCAAATCTTGCTGGTTTTGGGGAAGAGGATCAGTCAACTTGATTGGGCTGAAGAGTAGATTGACGTTTGTTAAAAAGGTTGTTTCCAAAACAGACATGCACTGAGCAATCAGTGTGAGAAGCCGCTCCATTTTTGAGAGTAACTGTGGTTTATCCAGATGTGACTTGGTCTCGGGGGTGGATAATTCTTCTAAGATGCGATCTAACTGAGGAATCGTGTGGTCCAGCGTCTTTTGAACTGTGCAGAATTTCCTCACAAGTCCAAGGTCAGGAGAATCTTTTGAGATCAAGACAATAACTCCACATAGCTTAGATAAGTGAGCGAGATCCTCACTGAATTGCCTTACCACTTGTCGAGCGAGTAAAGACCCAGTGAGTCGGGAAGGTGACGTTTTTGACGGAAGACTGGACGCGCAGAGGCATTCAGTTAAGTGTCTAATCACTGACTGGATCCGTCGTTGAAGAGGTCGGAATGTGTTTAAGAAATCTAACTCAGAAGAAAGATTATCGGGGGCACAGCCAGTTGTTTGACAACTAATTGGTTGTACTGGGTCCACGTCATAATAAGGATTCGAGCAGCTATCACTCAAAAGAGACAAGCGTTTTGCGTCTGATAAGATTTGTTTTAGTTTGGTCGGATAATCATCAGATGAAAGCTGGTGTAAGCAGGCTCCTTCAACGCAGTCCACCTTTGACTCTAAGTCTCCTTCGGTTAAAGTTATTCTGATATATTGACTTTCAACTTGCTGCAATTTTATGGCACCGGGAAAGTCGTCTTTGGCCTCCTTTGGTGAATACTGTTCATTTTCAGATTTGTACGGCACAGGCGGATGCTCTGAACCATTATCCTCGTAGGCAGAAGCATCAAGATCCTATTCGGGCAAGAAAGTAAAGTTAGGATATTTTTCTACTATGCAATGAGCGATGCATAAGGAATATAAAAAATTTGAACTATGCCAGATTACGGAGAAACTTTTGATGAGAGCCGTGAGATGTGTTTCAGATACGAAGATAACCGACCAGGCGCTGGTCTCTCTTTATAATGAGCCTACTCGCACTCTGAATAGGTATTCCAAATGAACCATCTCAAGGCAGTTAGGATGGCCTATCCATGGTAAATAACGATGAGATCATCATCACCGACAGAAACACCAGATGAGAACACTGTTCCCCCACTGCCATGCGGTCGTGTCATTTTGTTATGTAAAATTAGAAATCACTGACAGAAACACCAGATGAGAACACTGTTCCCCCACTGCCATGCGGTCGTGTCATTTTGTTATGTAAAAAAAACTTAGAATGGGAGAAAGAAAGAAATGGGGCAGGTTGGGGGCCTAGGTTTAACCAACCACGAACATCTGAGGTGATTACACCTCCAGCACTCCTTCAGACAACCTGGATAGAAATTGATAGCACAATCGCCACTGGCATCGGTCAGCCGTCATGTCGTTTCGTATGTTTAGTGAATAACACCGACTAAATTTTATTAGCCTACTAGTTTTCTCATCACTGGGTTTTTTTTCTACAACTTAAAGGCGACAAAATTTCACATGGCAGCGAAAAGATGTAATGTGTCTTTAAACCACTACAGGGATCGTACCATAGAGGTTTGGTAAATAGTCGGTGGATTTATTGCTGGACTACAGGGATCATTTATTGACTACACTGCTGAAAGAGGTTCTCTCCCAGTCATTCCACTACAGGAGTTCAGTTTTCCTCCAAGATCCGTTTTCTAATGTTTTTCTAAACTACCTTCAAATATATGCTAATAGGTTTCTGCTCAGTAAGATCTATTTACACATTGCAAATCCTTCTATGGAAAGAAAATACGTTGAAACAAACTGTATAGGACTGCCATTCCCGGTATTTTAGAGTCTGTTTATGGACATTGACCCCCTTTTTAGTCCGATAACAGTCCAAGGAAGAGAAGTTTTTATTGAACAATAAGCCACAGCTTACTACGTTCGAACTTCGAGCGTTAGGCATTATGACTGTCTATTGGGTAACTTCGCTTATTCGTGTTAATTTCACGGCACTATTAATTTGATGTGTAAACCTCAATCAGTTACCTCCATGGATGGAGTAGCGGTTGGTCGATACGTGGGTGAAACGTGTGATCTAGGGGGACTAAACACGATAAGGCATTGAAAATTCAAAAGGTGGCTGAACTTATCGCACTGGTATTATGCACAAACGCCTTCAGCTCATTACGAGGCCAAGCGTTCCCGAGTGAAATGAGCCTTCAGAAACCAACACACACTTTTACGTGTTAATAATCTATTGCAATAACTCACCGTACGAATGTTCCGGACTAAACACATGAGGTAGATGACTTCAGTATACGTAGTGTAGCCAGTTCGACCCATCCTTGCAATCACGGTGCGAATTTGTGGTCAACGGTTAAGCTGTCTGCTCAAAATAAACTTTCTACTCCGATAACAATCAACCACCCCATGTTGCGTGCACGCGCCTACTCAACCATGCATGAAAATAACGGTTTAACCTAAAGGAGACAGACTACTCATAAGATTGCTGAAAAATTTTCGACAGCGTACCATCGGTTTCGTCCTTCTTAAAACTCTTCAGTACGACGTGGTTTCATCAAAGAAAAGTTCTTTTTAAACAAGAAATTATACTGACGAAATGCACCCATCTGCAAATTAGTGTGGTTTTGACGGGAATATCAACTAGATGTCAGCCAGCTAAGCTCACCTGATAAGAGAATGACTTTCTAGTGAACTTAGAAACGTAATGTGCTCGGTCAAAAAATAATTCGAAACACAACGCGGCCTTTGTGCAACACATTCAGTTGAAGAACATTTTTAACGACTAATTCAGTCGAATCAGGTTAAGACCAATGTACTTTTGGAAACTAGTACATTTTATCGCCAGTTTAACTTTTTTGTGTTCATTTAAGCATGTTTTATTTTTGCTAGGTATCGTTTATGTTACCCACATGAAGGAAGATGCTAGGTGCAGGTTATGAGAACGCCTCGTGCTCTCTCAAATCCGTCGGACTGAAGGATGATATGATAATTCCATGGACCGTGTCTAAAATACCACGAAAAACTTTCCGATGCGGTGTGATGTAAAAGAAACATCGATATCCTCGCCCCTCAGGAGGAATGAATAGGGCTCCATCCTTAAAAGTCTTTTTGAAGTAATCAGCAAAAGCAAGCCACATCATGACACCGAGTGGAAATAACCAGCAGTAAAGCAGCGAAGCAAATCAATTGTTGGGAAAAAGTGAACGAGTGCATACAAGTGCACCACAATGGCACACTCTTGTGGACAGTCATTCAAAGTGAAGATTGTAGAACCAAGTGAACTATCGTCGATATTCATCTAAGAGCCGAAAAACGCTAAGGGGCGCCGCAGACCTTAGAGCTGACTAGAAGGATAAGACTGCTGTTTCTATTTTAAAACGAACACCAGTGGAAACGGTAGGGATAGTATTCATTCTCAGGGAATCTCAAGGTGCCTTCAGATCGTCCCCAATCTTTGTAGCGATTTTCTAAAACAAACTGAGCTGAATATTTGCACGTATTGAATGAGTGCCTGCCACCGCTTGATTTTCACTCTTGCTTTCTTCAGGCTCAGAACTGTCACCTGCAAGCTGAAGTGATAAACATGTAAGAAAGCACCCCAAGTTTTCGGTGGTGTAACCATCACAAGCGATACTAAACAGAAAACCTCATTTGGTAGATATTCTTTCTTTTGCTCAATATCGGTTACTAACGCGTTATGTGTGGGTGAACAGTGCTCGTCAAAATGGGCCGAGTTTGTGGCTCCGGTTGATCACTTGGCGTGTGCTTTACAGTGGCGTGAAGTTGTGGTTTCTCATGATTCTAATTTTGTCAGGATGGTAGAGCCTCAATCAGTATTGGGTCAACACTGTCCGGTAACATCAACTCATGTGTTCGTTCAAAGTTAGTTTCTGAGTAAAACTCTTAGAAGTCCTTGGAGCAGTTGTCGTACTGTGTGGTCGGTTTCTCATGATTCTAATTTTGTCAGGATGGTAGAGCCTCAATCAGTATTGGGTCAACACTGTCCGGTAACATCAACTCATGTGTTCGTTCAAAGTTAGTTTCTGAGTAAAACTCTTAGAAGTCCTTGGAGCAGTTGTCGTATCTGTGTGGTCAGTCGGGATTTAATAAAATGACATTTGGTACCCAGTGTCCAGACAGTAGCTGACCGAAGCAGGGCCTGGTAATGCACTAATTACTTGAGTCTATTTTCAGCAGAATATCCTGTGCTACAGACTGTCTCCTCCAATGGGGATCCATTGTAACTGAATGGAAACCAAAAGAAATCCTTTTTTCCTACGTGACGGTTCCTCTAGCAACGGATATCGTAGTTGCTATACGAGTGCTGCTCAGTGGGCACTATAGCTCAGCAATCGATAAAGTCGTAGGTCGTAGCAGAGCCAAAAAATCGCTTACGTCACATGGTTGACAAACGTCACAAGATCGACGTAAGCAAGTCATCCCTAGGCGTTTGAGATCTATCGCAGGCTGCCAGTACCGATCCCAAGGCGTGGCTTGGCAACAGTTGAGGCAATACGGCCACGTGACTCGGCACCGTGCTGGCAAAGGCGGTTCGTACGAAATTTAACCTGTATTGGTCATGTAACACGCTGCCAGACTCGCCAACTCCACAGAACCACACGGCACTCTGTCCAGTTAGGTGACATTAAACGCCTTTTTCCCATGACCATTAATTTAATCGCTCAGTTTGTGATAACCGGTTGCAAATCGTCCTAAAACACGGAAGTTTATCATTCAGTGTCCACGATTATTCGGTCATCGTCAACATTTGCCGTGTGCAGCTGGCTAGATAAAACGTCGGCCTTGTTCTTTGATATTCACCTCTCTAAATGCTACCGGTATAATTTTTTATCTTTTCTAAATAGTCTAAATGGTTTGCAGTGTTTTCCTCTTGTTTATGGAAACGACAGAAAGCGGAAAGCGGACTGTCTTGCCTATAACCGTCGTGCACTCAGCTTATCCAGTAAATTGTCGTGATTGCCGTTTGCCGTTTTGCAAAGTACTTGTTGATATGAATTACAATACATCCCACAAAACTTCACCGCTAATCCAGTTACAGCTTGGATTTCGCAAAAACATGTAGGAATTTGTGTGGGCTAGCGCTCGAGGGTTGAAGTTGGCTCCCTTCAGAAGTAAGTTCTTTATTCACAACCCTCACGACGGTTTGAAGATTGTTGTACCGTTTGACATTCTCAAACCCGTCACAGAATAATGACCACTTGAGCGCTTAAGCCAGCGGTGACTCCCACGTTTTGTGAGCTAATTGCTTCACGGACGTCAGTGTACAATAGCAAGGTTCTACAAGTTTTCCAATCCATGCAATGCAAACCAAAGAAAGCGCGTAGTTTATGCCGAACTCTCTCACTCTTGTCAGTTAGCGTAAACAAATCAGGAAAAGAGGTGTGCAGCCATGGCCAACCGGAAGACAAATTCTATCTTGTGGGATGCAAGATTGCAATGCAAGTTTGCATAACACTCAGTTGTAGTTCAGTGACTATTTTTACATCGCATAATCCTGTGACTGATTGCTTCTTGATAATCAGACTTTTCATTGATTTGCGGGGATTTGGCGTACGAAATGTGCGTTTCGATATATACTCTCGTGTACACACGAATCTGGTCTTGACAGCGGACTCAAGTGAATTCAGCTGAATTTTCCGTTTGTCATAGTCCATTTCAACTAAAGGTGCTACACCAGGTCACCCCATGTTTCAGTTTGTACGATATTCGGGATATACTTTCAAAACCAAGAAGGGTAAAACCGGTTGTGGGCTGTCGAAGAGTTTTCAGCAATCTTATGAGCTGACGTTGTACGTTTCAACCTT